ATTTACCGACTGTAGGTGGACAAGAGATAGATTTCAGGTTGATTTATTGCCTTGGGCTTGGGTTTCGTTGTTTTCAATTGCTTTGTTTTCTATTATATATAGTCGTGCACGTGATATCGATTATCAACTATTTAAATTTAAACACATTATTATGAGATCACGTCCGGGTAATAGGAGGGGCGGGGGAGTAGGCTTTTATGTGAAACGGGGTATTCGAGTGCATGTACGATCACATCCGGAGTCAGTACGAGTATTAGAACAACTATGGCTGGAGGTAAGTCTGCCCTGTTACAAAGTGGCGATCGGAACTGTCTATAAGTCTGAATCCAAAATATCAGTAGGAAACGCGATTTGAAACTTTGGCTGAATCTATACAATGTTTTGTTTATTGTAAACATATAATAATACTTTCAGATTTTAATGTAAATATGCTGGAACCAGTTTTTTTTAAAGAACTTAGCACCTTTCTTACACAACACGATCTCGAGCAAATGGTTAAGGAACCAACTAGAATTACGAAAGGGTCTGAATCTCTCCTTGATTTAGTTATAACAGATACACCGGATCGATGTTTGAACATACTCGTAAGTGTACATCATAACCAAAACATAAGCGATCACGCTATGATTTTAGCTCTCTTTGTTTTAAGGAAGCCAAGGCCCTCGCCTTGCTTTAAATCTGAGATTATTTAAAAATATAGACCTTAACAGTTTTAATTCTGATCTAGATATTGGAAGAATATCTTGAAGGAAGATGATATTAATACAATGGTTTATATGTTTAATGCATATATTAGTCACTTAGAATAAAGGTAGGCAATGTTCCTAATCCCAGGATAACAGACTTATTAAAATTATAATGACCCTTCGTGATGAAGCGCTGGACAGGTTTCACAAAACAAAATCTGAGTCACAAAAAAAATTATTGTAAACGAGAGTCAAGGGTTTAAGCTGAAAACCAGACTTGGTAATCCATGTGAAGTCCAAGCATAAGCTGACGCTTAGACCTTTTGCTTTCGGTATTATATTTTTTCTGTATATTTCTACAAAAGTGCTGTAACGCTGTAATCAATAAACTGGTATTCTATTCTATTCTATCTACGCTCATTAAATCATTTAGTCCAAGATTTTATTTTCTCTTTAAAATGCTATAAAATTTGATATTGTTAGAGCAATTATTTTTGTATTTTGTTGATATGTGCACTTGAGTCAAGGGTAATCCAGTCTTATTTTAATTGACATATTGCGTGTTTTTCTTTGTAAAGAAATGCTGGAGAATAAATGGTTGCATGAATAATGACCCTTTCACTGTAAGTTGGCAATAAAAGAGTGACACAAACGCCATTGCGTTTACAACCGTTAGTAGGCTTCGGTAAGTCCTTATGATTAAGTGGACTTTATGCAAATTATTGTGGCATACAAAATATATAGTACTTACTTAAATCTGGTCAGTCACGAAATCGACTTTGGTGCCATGACGAATACTATCAGATATATTTTAATGTTTTGCTAATGGCTTAAGAGAGTAAAAATTAAATTTTAGCCTTAACAACTTTTTTATTAAAGCTATAATATAGCCGACAATATGTTGGTATTACTTAATGCCCTTCGGGTATATACACGTTTTGCATACATAATAATAATATTTTCGGACATCTGACATCAACACCCAAACTCCGCAACAAATATTTGCAGTCGCATACGCTACCACTGCATCACCGCGGCAGTCAAGAAGTATTTGTACTTTCGCGTTCCATAATTACGGGATTAAGACAATCATGTAATAAGTATTATAATATATATGTTTAAATTCCCTGGCGTTTCGAACAAGTTGGACTGGCCGTGGTCGCAAGCTGACTGACTAAACTTATATGACTATGGCCAGTCTTAGTAACGTTTACTTCGAAGATATAAATACAAGTTTAGAAATCCGGAATCTAATTTGACAAATAATTGAAAACGAATTTCTTCATTAAATGTGTCATTTCAATAATGGCGTTTCAGACGTTGAACATTGTAAAGTCTTGTAAAGTCCCCCGCGACACAGGAATGTATTCCTAATGTGGGAGCTGTCTTGTTAAAAAAACAAAAAAGACGTTGAACATACATCATGATGTCAATTTTTTTTTTTTCTCATTTCTAAAGGTAAATTTATTATTAATTCACTGAAATAGAGCTGTAATGATAACCTCGCTGCGGTATTTCATAAGGTCGTTATCTCACATAAAAGAAAACGGTGAAGAAATAATAGGTATATGTAACCCACCAGCTTTTTACATGGATAGGTGGTACTAAGTAGATGGTTGGACATGGTTAGATGGCGTTTGTATCGCCAGTATATCACAATATTAATATTCACACTAGTAGTTACAGTTTTCGTACTCGGCGTTACGTTTTGGTTTTCCCATGACACATATAATGATTATGCATTTTGTGTTGTCGCTCAAGTAGTGTTATTTAGGCATAAAAGTGTTGGTAATTTGAACTCAATTATAACCTCTTTGCTTTGCCTCGGTACTTTTGTCAACTTGAGAACTTCCTATTAAACACTAAACTTTGAAATGTGGCCTCCTTTTATTGTAACTAGTGTAGTGCGAAATTACTAGTCTTTAGTATGTTATGGCTGTAAAATATATTACTAGCGTTAAATACAGGGTTAAGTCGACCTCGATATTTTAGGAGGTTTTGCTTGTACTTAGTGTCGGGTACCAGTAGCCGGAGAACCAGGTGTACCGTAGAAAGGAAATCCCTGGTACCCTGACGTGGCCCGAGGAGCCACCTACGGCTAACCCCCTCCTGTGTGGGAACCCCCATGCTCCCATTGTGCTCCCGAAAGGGCACGCACACTCCGCAGCGCGTCTCGCCGCCACCCCGGCCTGCTTCTGCTAGCCTGTGCCCCAGGCCTGTGCTTATGGAGGACGGAGGTCGTTCTGCAACCTCCAGCGCCTGAGTCTTCTGCGATACATGGCTCGGCCTGGCGGAGGGAGGATTCCAAACCTCTCCCGGTCCCGTTCCGCCATCTCCTTCGCAAGCATAACTTGCTCGCTGAAGGAGACGTTTCACGCCCTCTCGATCCGCATCATGGCCGCAATCATGTTACCGAGCGAGAGAACTTACACCCCGATGGCCACCACGAGGTCACGCCTCTGCTCCACCCACGTCGGGCATTCTGCCAGCGTGTGGAGCGCCGTTACTACGGTCCGGCCATCGCAGTAGTGGCACTCAGGTGTTGGCTCCTTGCGGATCAGACACAGTTGATCCCCGAAGCATTCTTTTCCAGTGATCACCTGCGTCAACCGGTATGAGAGGGTCCCGTGATGCCTCTCGAGCCAATCCTCCGTAATCGTACCTAAAAGTTTTCGTTCTGTTCTCGGGGAGAAAAAAAGATCCAATCAAGTGGTTTGACAATACCCATCTACACATTAAAACTAAAACGTCTTTGTGGCCCCTTTATTCGCGCCCAATAATTAACGCTGTGGTAATTGGTTATACCGTTTTTATCAAATTTGGACTCGTGTAAATGAAATTTCTCAGAAATAAAATAACGGGTTTTGAAATCTACAGAAATCCAACCTGTGCAAAGCGGCGTATAGTGACATAGTTAAGTGTGTATATATTACGTGTGTGGAAATACACTTTCCACTGTGAGAGTCTTAGTTTTAGGGCAATAATATTGGCTGAAGTTGTAGGATCCAATCTAGATGTCTTCTTTGTCATCTTCAACAGAGAAACTAGATCTACCAAGATCAGATCGTCACCTTAAAACAGAGCTGGTCCCTCTAAGTCGTCGATACACTGAGTCCAACACAATAACATCCGGCACTCAACGGCCGGGTTAGCGTACTACTCTTATGTAATATTTATCCGCGAGCTTATACGGATACACATTGGCAGTATCCGTAAGAAATCATAATATGAACAAATTCCTCGTCGTTACAGGTAATCATCTTTAACAGTATAAGAAGCACAAATCAAATTCTAGTTAGCAATAGTTAGTCACGAATATAAAACGAAACAGTCAAAAAATACAAGCCAAGTTTTCAACTAGGTACTAAAGGATTGTAATTCTTAATGCTCACGATCTTTTATCTAAGGTTTTTTCTATGAATTTTGATACTATTCTAGACTATTTTATTATACTTTTTTAGATAGCTGACAATACGTACATGTTTTAAATATATCTGCAACTTAACTGTCTTAGATTTTTTTTCAATACTTGTCAAAGAAAAGAAAGGGTTTTTCAAATTTATTTATTTTTGCTATTATCAACCACCTACTTCGGCCCAGTTTTTTAAGTTAATTACAATTTTAGTGACCGAAATAATAAAATGATGACATCTACCTTACCCTTTAAAGTATGTAGGTCGACTTAACCAGTAACCCTGTATATACTTAGAATGTGCGGGTGCGGAACATTTGACTACACGGGTGGCGTAGTGGTTTAAACGGTCGTCACGCCGCTTCCTACTACGCTGAGTACTGTGAGCTCCATCCCTACATGGGACGACACTTTGTGTGATCCACAAATTGTCGTTCGGAGCCTGGGTGTTCTTTGTGTCCGTTTCATGTAAGTTTTGTAAAGTCCCCCTCAACACAGGATATGTTCCTAGTGCGGGAGCTGTCTTTAAAAAAAATTAAGAATCGGGACGATGAGCGGAGGTCTCATAAAAGCATTGCCAGATGTATTTTCACAGAACCTTAAAACCTAAATCAAGTGCCCGTGCATATATCAAATTAAAAAAAGAATCTGAAGACAGCGCCAACTGCCCAATGACATAAATAAACCTGAAGCCGGGTAGGCTTCAGGTTTATTTATGTCTTATCCCGCCTTCAGTCAGTATATTTGTGTAGTGGTGAAATATGTGAATAAGATATTACTCCATATCCCAACCGGGTATTATACTCAGTATTTTTGCAACTCAGTTCAAGCGAGTGACGTCAAAGACGTAACGTTAGAGTCTTGATAAGTGTTTTGATATTCATTACAAATTTTTGTTACAGGTGCTGCCCGGTCTTTACGTGGGAAACTACCGGGATTCAAAGGATACTGTCCAGTTGGACAAGTACAAGATCACGCACATACTGTCCATACACGACGCAGCGAGAAGATTACATTCCGTAAGTGTTAATAGATGTACAATTAAATTATTTGTTTTTAGGGTTCCGTACCTCAAAAGTAAAAAAAAAGGAACCCTTATAGGATCACTTTGTTATCCATCTGGACGCGTGGAGGTATCGAGTTGAAATTGAAATCTGCAAACTATAGTTTTATAGGTATGTCGGCATCGAATCGAATACGTTGCATACCCCGTCAATTAAGGCACACCATATATAACACTTACAAAACCGCATATATACTATTTAATAGAAGTATGAGGTGCAGCTGATAAAAGCAACCTAACAACCCTACTCTACCGTAGGGTTCCATATTTTGGTTTCATTGTAGATTTTTTGCGTTGACGTGAGAAAATCGAAATGAAATATTTTCTTTATTAGTTTATTTTGAAAATAAACTAATCTAAAGTCAACTCAAAAAATCTACAAGAAAACCAAAATATGGAAAATACTAACTAATAATATACATACGCAAATAAAATTAACAAAAAAAAAGTTGTGCATAAAATCTGTCTTAGAAGTAGGAAAGATATATTTCTGTTAAAATCACGAACAAATTATGGAAAGAGTTGTATTATGTATGAAGGTATTAAAATCTTTAATCAGCTGCCTAATGTGGTAAAAGATGCGAAAAATTAATATGAATATATCACATTATTTATATATAATACAAGCATAAAACACTTTTTATAAATAAAAATGTTTATCTATTGCTGTAATTTATAAGTATATATATATTTGTGTCAATATATTATCTTCGTTTTCTAAGAAAAAGTTAAATTATTAATGCGCCTTAGCGATTACCTCGCCACTTCCGTCGTTTGAACGTTAAAAAAAATATATTTTACTAGCTGACCCGGCAAACGTTGTTTTGCCATATACGTTATTTCTAGGAAATATTAAAAAAAAAATTTAGGGGTGGGTCACCCTTGTCTTTTAAGGGTTTAAAAACCGATGTTGGCCGATTCTCAGACCTACCCGATGTGCACACAAAATTTCATAAAAAACAGTCCAGCCGTTTCGTAGGAGTATGGTAACTAACACTGTGACACGAGAATTTTATATATAAGATAGTTATAAGTTGTCAGTGAAAGTGTTAAAGGAAAAGTTTTATTTTATTCTTTTTAGTACTTTTAAATAAAAAAAGTTTTTTAAAAGGTTTTTACTTTTAATTTATTTTCAACGCATCATTGTTTGCATGGTCGTTTGCCGGTTAATTTCGAACAGTCTAGTTCCTCGCATTCGTATTCCCAGCAAAGTCCTTTCATTTGATACCCATATTGTAGGCAAGTATAAAAAACTTAGTCCGCCATCTTTAAAAATCCGTCATATTGGATTTAGAGTTACGTCACTTTATTTTTCGAGTTATTTTCAGCTAGCCCTTTCATTTGATTTGATGGGCCTGTAAGTCTAGTGTTCAGTGGCCCTGATTGCTAAGCCGGAGGTCGTGGGTTCTATTCCTTAGAATATGTATGTTATGTATCTGGAATGTATGTATTTTAAAATATATTAGTATGTTTATCAGCAGTCTGGTTACCATAGTACAGGCTCTGCCTAGTTTGGGAGCAGACGGCCGTGTGTGAGATGTGTGATATATATTATTATATTAGGTATATTATATTATATTATTTGACACCCATTTTGTAGGAGTGCATTAAAAATAACTAGTCCGCCATCTTGGGTGTTCCGCCATGTTTGTTTTAGACTAACAAATGACCTCATACAGCTAACCATGCATTGTCATCCAAAATCCAGAAAATGTAACAAAGTTACATACATACATTACAAGTTCAATAAAAGCTTGTAAAAACATAAAATAATTTAAATTATTCTGTTTAACTACATTATTAAATTTACTTACACATATTAATACCGATAGACAGATATTATATTACGACGCGTTGCGATACTTCAGAGTCAATTTAATTCTGTTCAAATGTAATACGTTTTACTTGCGCAGGTGTTTTAATCTATTTCATTTATTAAAGGAAAATGGTTTTCACTCACGTGTGTATTTTATTGAAACCAAGGAGCTGGGTAACAAGGTGACAAACTTCCGCTATCGATTGTACAAGTTTTGTACTGCTATTAATTACAAGTCCTATATTTCGCAATAAAAAAACACATTGAGAAGTATGTATCATTTTACAATAAAGGCAAATCCTTTTCATCACAAAAAAATCCCGTCAGATTCACAAAAATACGCCTTAAAATCCATTCTCTAGGAATGTACGGTTTCGTGTAGCAAGCAACACTTTGATGTCCGACAAAGAGAAAGCTGATAAATAAGAATTTAATCTATTCTTTGCCCTTTTTCTTCTCGACAGCGTCGTGTTGGCAATTTCTTTCTGGCTTCGTGCGTAACAAGTCGCCGATTTTTGTGAATTTATCAACGGATACCGTGCGCAGGGTAAAAGGAAATTTTGCTTCTTTTACAGTTCGTCTTCCAATCGTCTTCCTTCCTGTCTTTTGTGTATGATTTAAAGTATTTACAGGGTGTGCGATTGAAAGATAATATGCATATATTTTTTCCGCATTGAATTATATACATACGTCCTTGATATCGACATAACGTACTTCAATTTTAAGATGTAAGGTAATATTATTATCCTTATTGATTTCTCTTATAGATTTTCTGCTTCAACAGCTGCCGCATTCTTCAATACTATGCACCAGGGGTAAACAGAGTTTGGTTAGGGTACACCTGGTTCCCCGGCTACTGGTACCCGAGACGTCATGCGGTTTTTAGGCGGTTCAAGTACGACATAACAGCCCCACCGATGGATTTTCTAAGACGGGATTTTTGCACCGAAAAATAAAACAAAAAAGTTAAACAGAGCACCGGCTACTCTTCCCTTTATTAGAAAATATCCAACGACAATCCTAAATTAGAATAACTGTTGTGACAATAGCTTAATGGTATAAAAATATGAAAACACTTGCTCTAAACATTACGTATTCTGTACCGCGAATATTTTAGGAGACACACAGATCTTAAGCTAAGTATGTAGTAAATTTAAAAGGTTTCCTCAAACAAAGTCCGTATCGTAAATAAGTGATGTACTAGGCACAACTGTCGTGTTACCCGAAACTTCAAATTCCATTTTCCCGCTTCACACACATTATCCGACCCTTGCTTAGGTCACAGGCCCAAAATTACACACACGTATTCTACATTACTGTTAGTAAAATATACTTTTCTCTTATCTGAGCTACGTAAAAACACAATCTATTTGTAGACAATCGCAGTGGCTACGTACATATGCTACGGTGTGCTACAAGTACAATACTAAGGACGAAATTGTGTAGCTACGTGATTTGTTTTCTTGTCTGAATTGTGTTTATATTTTCTAATTTTTTTTCGTTAATTTTTTCAAGAGTAACTTTTTTTTTTTTTTTTTTTTAACGTGTGGAAATCCCCTCGGACCGTCACCCCTCCGGGGTTTGCGGCGGGGTGGTGTGTCGGACTCGGACCGACTAAAACCACACGGTGTGCCACTCTGCGCCTGTAACAGGAGGGATCCGGGAACAGCTGTTGTTAAGACATCCGGACCCCTCCTAGCGCCAGCCCGCTCCTGGTGCGGGCTCCGTCTCATTGTAGATGTTCCTCTCTTTAGGCGACGTCCGGCACACGCGGACGCCGCCCCCTCGCGGCTGGCCAACTAATGCGGGTGGAGGGGAAACCCACCCCGTCCACCCGCGGCCACACTCAGGGCGGCATGAGGCTGTGGTAGGCGGGCCTCCGCCGCCCGGTTCGCCGGCGGCGGATCGGGTCCGAGTGGAGGTCGTCCTCCCGGGCCCTCTCCGCCGCCTCCTTCCGCGAGATTACTACCTCGCAGAAGGTTGCGACCGCGGTAAAACAACTGTCGCTACCGGCCATGGAGCGTACTACGGCCGGTAGCGAGAGATCCACTCCGATGACTGCAGTGAGGGCCCGGCGCTGCGCCGCCCATGCGGGGCAGACCGCCAGCGTGTGCTGGGCCGAGTCCTCACTGCAGTCGCAGTGGTGGCAGGCGGGACTCAGTTCCCTCCTAGCGACCGTGTGCAGGTACTTTCCGAAGCAACCGTGCCCGGAAAGCACCTGCGTCAGTCGGAAGGAAAGGGTCCCGTGCTGCCGCCCTGCCCACTCGGCGATGACCGGCTGGAGAGCCTCCACGGCGGCGAAGCCAGCGCGTGGAGTCTCCAGCCGGAACGACCAACGAGCCATCGTGGCTCGGCGAGCGGCTTCGCGCCACTCGCGCACATCCTCGGGCGGAGGGCGAAATCCGCTCTCCGCCCGGTAGTCAGCCACTCGCCGATAAACTTCGGCGAGCACTTCCGCCTCCAAATCCCACGGGGGAGTTCCGGCCAATGCGCATGCCACCTCCGTCGAAACGGTGCGGTAACCGCGTATGGCTCTGACCGCCATTACCCTCTGAGGGCGCCAGAGGCGTACCCTATTCTGGGCGGTCAGAGCCGCCGCCCACACCGGTGCACCGTACAGTGCCATTGACCGGACAACCCCCGTGTACAGCCGTCTTGTCGCGACGCTGGGTCCACCCATATTGGGCAAAAGTCGCCCTAGGGCAGACGCAGCGCCGACCAGCTTTGGAGCAAGCTGTCGGAAGTGCTCGTCGAAGAGCCACCTCCCGTCGAGGATCAGGCCCAGATATTTCATCTGGGCCCGAACCGGTACGAGGACCGAGTTGACCACGATTGAGGCGCCAGGGGGTGGACCACGACGGGGCCCATGGAATAACAGGGCCTCCGTCTTATCTAGGGCCACCCGTAAGCCCAGCGCCTCAATGCGCCCGACCACCAGGGAGACTCCCCCTGTGGCCAGGCGCGCCGCCTCTTGGAAGTTTGCCCCCCGGGCTGTCACGAGGGTATCGTCTGCGTAACAGATTACACCCAGCCCGGGGGGGAAATCGGCGCGAAGGGCCCAGTCGTACCCTATGTTCCACAAGAGGGGTCCAAGAACAGACCCCTGTGGAACACCGCACGACATGGGCCGACTCCTCAAA